CTCTCTCTCTCTCTCTCTCTCTCTCTCTCTCTCTCTCTCTCTCTCTCTCTCTCTCCCCCCGCACACACATATTACGCCAAAACAACTCTCTCTCTCTCTCTCTCCCCCCGCACACACATATTACGCCAAAACAACTCTCTCTCTCTCTCTCTCTCCCCTCGCACACACACATACTATGCCAAAACAACCAGCAGACGGGAAGAGTAACTTAAAGCCGGCAGAGTGTGTGTGTGGGTGCTGGTGCTTCATATGAAAAGCTGTACCCGTATATGAAACACAGGACCCAGTTCGGAAACTATGAAAGAATGGTTCCTGCCGCTCATTTTGTCCAGACCACTGCTGCACCTGAACTCATTTTATAGAGCCTATCTGTTCCATGAACCTTAGTTTTCAAACCGCAGGCCTTTGTTGGTCAGTGGTGCGCAGTTTTCTATGTGGCTACAGTGGCCTCTTCTCGACTGGTACCTGACCTACTTCAGTCCCTTTTCGTATGGATGATCTGAGCCTGACCTACTTCAGTCCCTTTTCGTATGGATGATCTGAGCATGGTCGTTAAGTGGTGATGGAACAGTGGTTTCGCAATCAAGAAGATGAGGTACCGAACACCCATGCTCGTGCTCGCCTTCCATGTTGCCAGCCTCGAAACCGCCTTTGCTACCAGCGCCGTAATTTGTCCCTCCCTACCTGCACCTTTTATAATATCCACTCCCAAAATTGAAATGCTTCTCCCGTGCTCCACCACCGGGATGTCCCATTCTCCCGGGAGCCGCGTGCCTCTGGGCATAATGGTACACGACTTTCCCCAGTTGACCCGGGCCCCTGAGTAACTACAGAAAGTGGTGAGATCCTCCTTTAGGCACAGGGGTTGCAGAAGCGGGTGGCCGATAATTGCCCCCGTGTCAGCTGTCCTTGCGCTGGTATGAGCCCTCCGAGGTTTTCAAATTGGCTGCCTGGGCATGAACTGGTCATTTAAATGGAAGGCAAGGCAAATCTCGGCCCCACAAGCATGGAAGGGCCGTTACAGCTACTGGGAACAGAGTGCATCACAGACTGGGTCAAAACCGAAAAGGAAGTCTACGAAAACGCAGGATAACAAACCGGAAAGCAGAGCAAATTTCACCAAAAAAGTACTGGGGATGGAGAAAATAGGGAGACCGAACCCATATCACATAACTTTCAGAAGTGGAAAGAGTGTGGGGGAGGTAAGGACAGGAGCAGCACTTGACGAACAGGGGGAAGGATCTTTCAGTAGTGCGCTGAGCATACAGAGTCTTAGTCTTGGCTCAGGATAACTTAAGTGAAGGACAGCGGAGAAAGAGTTGCGAGGATAGGGTGTATAGGTAAGGGACAATCTTTTTGGGGGGGGAGCATTGCGAATCACTTGCTTACGGTGGCAAGATAGGCTACAAGCAAAGATGGGCAAAGAAGAGGTCAATTCCTTTCAGATGTTAGTTCTGTTTGCTAGCTCTTGTTTTGGAAGGGCAGGACAGAGCCCCCAGGTTGAGAGGCGCAGTGCCACAACTAACAAATAGGGTTTGAGCTTGAAAGGCTGGGTAGAACAGGGCCGCAGACAACTAACAGGGTTGAGCAGTGGCTGATCCTCCCCGTGAAGGGAAGCAATCAATGCCACAGTGTGTCCTCCATTCATAATGGCAGGAAGCGTAGTGGRAGTCAGTGTTTGCAAGGGATGCTGGACCTGTTTTCAATCTTTAAAATAAAAAGCTTCCCCCACACCCCCCCCCCAAAAAAAAAACTTGCTGGCTCTCTCCGCTTCCCTATTCATCTACGAAATGTGTTGTGGCATGTGTTGGAAACATTGGGTGAGCCATGTTGGCAGATCTCGCAGCGTCACATGGCCGCAACACTCGGGAAGCCTGAATCGATGGTGGACCTGTGCTTGGCGTGCAATGCCCTAATTGGACATATGAAGTGGTCGACCCCGTTTATGCTTGGTCGACCCCATTTATGCTTGGTCGACCCCGTTTATGCTGTGGAAAAAGGTGGACCTGGTGAACGAGATGCCTGGCACTGCAGATGAAGGGTATAATGAATTCCTGTTTGGCAATGGATTCATCTGTAATAAGAGGGGGGCGGTCGCCTTATCTTATCTATATCTAATCTATCAGAACAATTAGTGGAGGAGTGTAAGTGGCAGGGTGCGAGGAGCGTTCGGGTGTCAATGGGCGGCCTTTGGTATTTACAAGGTTGGCCACCTGTGGGATCCTCATAAGAGGGACTGAAAGACGGGAACCGGAAATGGTCGAACAGCTTCCGTGGCAGTTCTGGAGGGAGAAAAGATTGAGGGAGCTACAGGAGGTGATCCCAGCATAGTGGGTAGACCAGTGAAGAAAGAGGACAGTGGAGAAGGGAGAGTGGAATAAGCAAAAGGGGGGGTGATGTCCGAAGGTGCTATTCCGAGTGGAAGGGCCTGCTAGAGAGGGAAGGATAAGGTTTAACTGAGTGGAGAGTTGAGGCAGGATATTGTCCAGCTTACCCCGCTCTCTCTTTGATATACACACATGATGCTGCCTATACATCTCGATGCATTGATTCACAGAGCCCGAAGGCTATGCGTGGGCTCCGAGGATGAGGCAGCATCATGTGTGTATACATCCTCAGAGCCCGTAGGCCCGAAGGCTCCTCGGGGCATCCTTGGGCTCCGAGGATGAATCCTTGGAAAAGTTTAGGGGTTTTGTCGTCTTCGTTAGACTCATCCTCGGAGCATTGACTTTACGACTCATCCTCAGAGCAATGTCAGGAAAAAAAGGAAAGAAAAAGAAAAAAAGTTGTGCTTCAGGCTTTCAGCCAATAGGGTGCCGCCACGATCCGAATTCTCGGCTGTAATGTCTCTCTACGTGCATGTCCTCTCCTCTCCATGAAACACGGATCCTCGGGCCCCAAAGGACCTCGCAAGGTCCCTTGGAGCTGAGGATGATTTGGCTGGGAAATCCTCGGAGCCCAAGGATTTGCCCTCGGAGTGTTTTC